TGGAACTACAGGCACGCGCTACCACGCCTGGCCAATTTTTAAAATTTATTTATTGTAGAGATGAGGTCTCGCCAAGTTGCTCAGCCAGATCTCGAACCCGCGGGCTCAGGCAATCCACTCACCACAGCCTCCCAAAGGTGCGGGATTACAGGCTGAGCCACCGAGCCTGGCTTTTTATTTTTATATTTTTTAAGTCAGAGTCTCTCTCTGTCACCCAGGCTGGAGTGCAGTGGCATACTCACAACCACTGCAGCCTTGACCTGCTAGGCTCAGGTGATCCTTACATCTCAACCTTCCAGGTAGCTGGAACCACAGGTGCATGCCACTATGCTCAGCTAATGTTTTGATTTATTGTAGAGACAAGGTCTTGCCTAGTTGCCCAGGCTGGTTTTGAACCCCTGGACTCAGGCAGTCCTCTCGCCTTTACCTCCCAAAGCACTGGGATTACAGGTAGGAACCACCACGCCTCGTGAGTTGGTTTTCTTTTTTTTTTCTTCTACCCGTCTTCCTCCTCCTCTCCTCTCCATTCTTCTCCTTCCCACTTATTCTGCTTCTGTACTTATAGAAGAGAAGGCTTGATCATGAGGTAAACAGGTGCAGTGCTGGTGACTCTTCAGTTTCATGGACTTCTTCAATAGACAACTCACTGGCAGGATGACTTGGGCCAAGTGGTCAAGCCTTAGCATATGTCATCTGATTCCTTGTCATTCTGTTCTGCATTGGGTTTCTAGACCAAGCTGGGTATTACAGCAATATTGGTAAAATTTTCTAGGCATTTTTCTCTTCCATTTTGGTAGTTGGTCTCTGATGAGTGCCATAGGGGCAAAACATCAGGCAAGGAAGAGTAAATCTTGTGGCCTGATTCCCCTCCTCCCTTTATCACTTGGTCTGAGTATTGTTATTTTGACCCAGTATCTTCTTTCTTCCTGCTTCAGCTGTGGTACTTTTGGGATGAGTCCCAGTTTTGCGTTGGAGATAGCTAAGCAGTTGATACCAAACACCAGCCAGTGAAGTCCTCCTACAGTTGTAGGTATTTTGCAAGAGTGTAGCAGCCCTAGAGCTACATGTTTGTGTGATTAAACCAGGAGAGAAGCGATAACCAAGTAGTTTTTTTGTTTTTTGTTTTTTTGGGTCTCATTGTTGCCCAGGCTTGAGTACAGTGGCACGCTCACAGCCACCACAACTTCGACCTGCTGGGCTCAGGCTATCCTTTCGCCTCAGCCTTCCAAGTAGCTGGAACTTCAGGCATGCGCCACCACACCTGGCTAATTTTTTGATTTATTGTAGAGATGAGATCTGGCCAAGTTGTCCAGGTTGGTCTCAAACCCCTGGACTCAGGCAGTCCTCTTGCCTCAGCCTCTAAAAGTAATGGGATTACAGCCCTGAGCTACTGCACCCAGCCTAGCAGTTTTAATCATAAATCTGAGTTGTCCTGGCTTATTGTCCCTTGAAATCTTTAGGACTTAGAACTGGGCACAGTGGCACATGCCTGTGGTTCCAGCTACTCGGAAGGCTGAAGCTGAAGGATCGCCTGAGCCCAGCAGGTTGAGGCTGCAGTGGCCGTTGAGTGTGCCACTGTATTCCATCCTGGGTGACAGTGAGTTTCCAACTCAAAAAAAAAAAAAAAAGAAAGAAAGCTTTAGGGCTTAGGATTTTAGTTTAGGGTTTCAGTCCTAATTTACTTAATCATTTACCCAGCAGAAGTCAACCTGATTGGAGATGAATTATTCTAGAATAGGTGTAAGTTATTGGGTTCTGCTGAAGAGAAGTAGCAGTGAAAATGGATCTTTTTTTCCCTAGTTTTCTGGATTGTTTTATGCAGCATATCTTCCTAACAGCTAAATGACATTTCTGTTGCCTCATTTTTTGGGAAAAGGAATGAAAACCATCTATTCCTCATTTTTTTGCCTCATTATAGGGAAGGAAATTTTGTTGCTCTGCTTATTGGTACCATGGATGCTTGGTCTGTGACCTTTCTACTAAGAGCTGTGACAACCTCTGAGCCCAGCTATGTTATGAAGTTCAGAGGGCCTTTGATCATTGTTGTCTTAATCATAATTAGAACTTTACTTGATCTTAATCTTGTCTGTCTCTGTTGCTGTCTCACCATTAATCTATATATGTAGACTGAGATCTTTCTATTCAGGTATTAACTTATATTATTGAGGGCCCATCCCATTTGGCCTCCTCTTTTTAATTTTTTTTTTTCTTGAGTTGGAGGGTTACTCTGTTGCCCAGACTGGAGTGTGTGGCACGCTCCCAGCCACCGCAGTCTCGACCTGCTGGGGTCCGGCGATCCTTCCACTTCAGCCTTCCAAGCAGCTGGAACTACAGGCGCGTGCTACCACACCCAGCTAATTTTTGATTTATTGTAGAGATGAGGTCTCACCAAGTTGTCCTGGTGGGTCTCGAACCTGCGGGCTCAGGCAATCCACTCACCTTGGCCTCCCAAAGCGCTGGAATTACAGGCTGAGCCACCGAGCCCGGCTTTAATTTTCTTTAACATGGCTAATCTTTCTTCCCTTTGAATTCAGCAGAACTAGATCAAAAGTGATATCTCAGTGGTCTTTGACAATTAAAGGCCGACATTCTCCATTATGAGGGGAGGAAGGTATGTCTTCCTGAGTCCATCATGTGTCTTCAGTGTAATCATGAAAAGTTATGGACTTGCATACCCTTAGGAGTTGACTTAGTCTTTCAGAGTAGATTTTCTATAGATATGGTTATTTAGTCACTTTCTTTAATCTTTGTTTTTGTTTTTTGTTTTTGAGTTGGAGTCTCACTCTGTCACCCAGACTGGAGTGCAGTGGCTGCTCCCAGCCACCATAGCCTCGACCTACTGGGCTCTGGCAATTCTTCCACCTCAGCCTTCCAAGTAGCTAGGACTACAGGTGTGCGCGACCACACCTGGCTAATTTTTGATTTATTGTAGAGATGAGGTCTCGCCAAGTTGCCCAGGCGGGTCTCGAACCCACGAGCTCAGGCAATTCACTCACCTCGGCCTCCCAAAGTGCTGGGATTATAGGCTGAGCCACCACTCCCAGCCTATTAATTAAAATTTTGTAAAATTGTAGAGATGGGGTCTTGCTATGTTGCCTAGCTGAATTTGAACTCCTGGCTTCAAGGAGTCCTCCCACCTTGACCTCCCAGTTCCTTAGCCTGAGATTATAGGCATGAGCCACTATGCTCAGCTAATAAATAAATTTTAAATACCAACAAATTCCTGTTAAGTTTACAGCAGAATATAGGATGAGGATGTAGGAATGCAGAATCAGTTTCTGCCCACACTGATCACTTTTTAATTATTTCAACATTACATTTTCTTATCTTTGACTTCATTTCCATAGACCAACTTTTTACCTTTCTTGTGAAATAACGAATAAACGAGTAAAGCACTGTGGATATGCTCTAAAAGTTCTTTCACGTTTTTTTTTTGAGTTGGAGTCTCACTCTGTTGCCCAGATCGGAGTGCAGTGACAGCTCCTGGCCACCGCAGCCTCGACCTGCTTGCTGGGCTCCGGTGATCCTTCCGCCTCAGCCTTCCAAGTGGCCAGAATTATAGGCGCGCACTACCACACCCGGCTGAGTTTTTGATTTATTGTAGAGATGAGGTCTCGCCAAGTTGCCCAGGCGGGTCTTGAACCTGCAGGCTCCGGCAATCTACTCACCTTAGCCTCCCAAAGGCGCAGGATTACAGGCTGAGCAACCGAGCCTGGCTCACTTTTAGCTCTAAAAGAAAAAATTGATCAAACCCCAAGGTCTTCAGTAAGTCTTGGATATCTCTCAGGCCCTTTGTCTTTCAACCATGGTGTCAAATGAGACTGTCTGACTCTGATGGTTAAATGTATTAAAAACAATTATATTTCCAGAGAAAATGAGTAAGAAAAGGTGCTAGAACAAAAATGGAATATGCATAAGACCTCTGTGAGTGTGGAGAAAAAAGAAAGAAGGAACATTTAAAATCACTCTCAGCCGGGCTTGGTGGCTCAGCCTGTAATCCTGTGTCTTTGGGAGGCTGAGGTGAGTGTATTGCCTGAGTCCGCGGGTTCGAGACCCACCTGGGCAGCGAGACCTCATCTCTACAATAAATTAAAAAAAAAAAGAAAATCAGCCGGGCGTGGTAGCGCATGCCTGTAATTCCTACTACTCGGAAGGCTGAGGCGGAAGGATCACTGGAGCCCAGCAGGCGAGGTAGCAGTGACCGGAAGTGGCCACTACACTCCAGTCTGGGCGACAGAGTGAGACCCCAACTCAAAAAAAAAAAAAAAAAAAATCACTCTCACTGGGTGCGGTGGGCTCACTCCTGTGATCCCAGTACTTTGGGAGGCCGAGGCGAGAAGATTGTCTGAGCCCACGGGTTTGAAACCATCCTGGGCAACATGGCAAGACCTCATCTCTATAATAAATCAAAAAATTAGCCGGGTGTGGTAGCCTGTATTTCCAGCTACTTGGAAGGCTGAGGCGATAGGATCACCTGAGCCCAGCAGGTCCAGGCTGTGGTGGCTGTGAGCGTGCCATTGCACTCCAGCCTGGATTATAGAGTGAGAATCTGACTCAAAACTGGGTACAGTGGCTTAGGCTTGTAACCTCTCTGTTTTGGAAGACCAAGGCAGGAAGAGTGCTTGAGCCCAGGAGTTTGAGACCATCCTAAGCAACATAGTGAGACTTCATCTCTACCAAAAAGTAGAAATAAGTAAGTCAGGTATGTTGGCATGCACCTGTAGTCCAAGTTACTTAGGAGGCTGAGCCAGGCAGAAAGATCTCCTGAGCCCAGGAGGTCAAGGCTGCAGTGAGCCGTGATCATGTCACTGCACTCCAGCCTGCAAGACAGAGTAAGACCCTGTAGAGAAATAAATAGATGATAGGTTGATAGATAGAGAACACGTAGATAGATGGATAGATAGATAAATAGATAAGAAAATAAACAGTGTGCTTGACAGAGATTGTGTGGGATGTTGTATACACACTAATAATTGTATTCTGTTAATTTTTTTTACCAGCATCTGGAATCAAGAGACCCGTGGCCGCTGAGGTGAGTTTCATAGATACAGTGGTTACTAAAACTTTAATTATTGAATAGAATAATACTGTTTGTGACATCTTTATTTTTTCCCTACTTAAGTCTTGGAAGCTAGACAGTATTCTTACATGTCTTTGGTAGGCTAGAAAGTATACAACTCTACTTTTGTTATAATTTATTATGAATATTAACAATATCACACACTGAGCATTTTAATGTACCAAATGCAATGTATACCAAAGAGTAAATACTATATCTAAGTTTTATCGATATTCCTATTTAATACTGCAGACAACCCTAGTAAGGAAAATACTTTTGTTATCCATGTTTTACAGATTAGGAAAGTGAGGAATACCCAATAAGTAGGATTAATAAAGCTAAGATTCAAACCCAGGCTATCTGACACTAAAGCTTACTTTCTCTGTTTTGCTGTTACTGCCTCCTGATCCCGTACCTTCAGTGAATATGGAGAACTTCTTTTAACCACACAGAAGCTGTTAATTTCCCAAGTTTCTCTTTTCTGTGCAGAATATCTTCATTTTGCTTAATTTTCTTCCCATGCAATATTTCCTAATCCTCTTCTCTTCTTGCCTCTCTCCTGAATTTTGTGACAGGGGCCTCAGAATAGTGGCCCCTTTGGCCTGAGACTTTAGGCGTTTCTCTCAGAATATCTTCCAAGATCTGTCAGGTGATACACTGAGGGTTTTCTGGTACTAAGGGCTTTGGCAAGGAGAGTAGAACTTGAATATCAGATGTTAAGATTGTGACATCTTAGCTCCACTAGTCTTTTTGCCTTCTGGCATATTAACTTAGAGAACATTGACGTCATGAGTACTGAGTACCTTTGTATCTGTTGTGCTGGGATCTTGACTCTTGGGACTAGCCTTCTAGACACGTTTTACTGGTCTTACTGCTTTTGTATTTTAGGTGCTGTTATGTGGGTGGAAAGCAAGGTCTTAGTCTGTTGTCAGGAATCTCTTCAAGAAACTGAGGGTACTGTCTCAGAGAAGCCATTTTATTGCCTTAGCCTTTTAATTCTTGGGCTAAAGAATTACTTGGGGCCAGCGTGGTAGCTCACACCTATAATCCCAGCACTGGGATGCCAAGGTGAGAGGATTGCCTGAGCCCACGGGTTTGAGACCAACCTGTACAATATGGTGAGACCTCATCTCTACAATGAATCAAACAATTAACTGGGAGTAGTGGCATGCACCTGTAGTTCCAGCTACTTGGAAGGCTGAAGCGGAAGGATCGCCTGAGCCCACCAGGTCAGGGCTGCTGTGACTGTGAGCATGCCACTGCACTCCAGCCTGGGCGACAAAGTAGGACTCTGACACACACACACACACAAAAGGGGAGCAGGGAGCTGTGGAGCTCTACTTCTAACCTTTCTTGCTTTTGTGAAATGAGGTGTATCCTTTTTTCTGGAGTTGCTATTCTCTACTTTCTCTATTTCTACTTTTTCTGGAGGCAGGGATCTTGCTATGTTTCCTAGGCTGGCCTCGAACTTCTGGGTTCAAGTGATCTTCCAAACTCAGCTTCCCAAGTAGCTTGGATTATAGACACGTCATACCACTCAGCTATTTTTCTACTTCTCTTTCTTTCTTTCCTTCCTTTCTTCCGTCCATCCTTCCTTCATTCATTCACACTCACCCAGGCTGGAGTACAGTGGCATGATCGCAGCTTGCTGCAACCTCGAACTCCTGGGCTCTAGTAATCCTCCCACCTCAGCCTCCCAAGTGGCTGGAACTAAGGGCACATTCCACCACACCTGCCTGATTTTTAAAAATGTTTTTGTAGAGACAAGGTCTCACTGTGTTGCCCAGGTTGGTGTCAAATTCCTGAGCTCAAGCAATCCTCCTGCCTTGGCCTCCCAAAGTGTGTGAGCCACTGTGCCTGACCATCTTCTTTGATCTTTTAGCCATTTAATAATTGGGAAGCTGTTATGTGCAGTGACTCATGCCTGTAATCCACTTTGGGACGTGGAGGCGAGAGGATTGCCTGAGCCCATAGGTTCGAGACCAGCCTGGGCAACTTGGTGAGAACTCATCTCTACAATAAATCAAAAAATTAGCCAAGAGTGGCACATGCGTGTAGTTCCAGCTACTTGGAAGACTGAGGTGAAAGGATGGCCTGAGCCCAGCAGGTCAAGGCTGCAGTGGCCGTGAGAGTGCCATACTGCATGCCAGCCTGACTCAAAAAAAAAAAAATTAATTGGGAAGCAACATTATAGTTGTGTATTTACACAAGATTTTCTGAAGATTTTATAAAATTGTTCTTAATTTAGAAGAGGTAGCCGGGCTCGGTGGCTCAGCCTGTCATCCCGCGCCTTTGGGAGACTGAGGTGAGTGGATTGCCTGAGCCCGCGGGTTCGAGACCCGCCTGGGCAGCAAGACCTCATCTCTACAATAAATCAAAAAATCAGCCGGGCATGGTAGCGTATGCCTGTAATTCCGTCTACTCGGAAGGCTGAGGCGGAAGGATCGCCGGAGCCCAGCATGTCGAGGCTGCGATGGCCGGGAGCGGCCACTGCACTCCAGTCTGGGTAACCGAGCGAGACTCCAACTCAAAAAAAAAAAAAAGAAAAGGTATTTTGAGTGTTTCAGTTTATTTTGTTTTGACCATCATGGTAATTAATTGGTATATTACATGGAAATCATATTATAATCTTGAATATTCTTTCTCTTCTAGGTGCCATATACCTCTGGCATGGCCATCAAGAAAATAGGCCACCGAAGTGTCGATTCCTCAGGAGAGACAACGTATAAAAAGGTGTGTCTGGGTGATACCTTCTTATCTTTCTCCAGAAATTTAGCAGAGAGAGCGCTGTCTCCTTGACATACTATCCCATTTCTTGGTTGCTATATTTTTTTTTTTTGAGTTGGAGTCTTACTCTGTCGCCCAGACTGGAGTGCAGTGGCCACTCCCAGCCACCGCAACCTCCACCTGCTGGGCTCCAGCGATCCTTCTGCCTCAGCCTTCCGAGTAGCTGGAACTACAGGCGCGTGCTATCACGCCTGGCTAATTTTTGATTTATTGTAGAGATGAGGTCTCGCCAAGTTGCCCAGGCGGGTCTAGACCCCATTGGCTCAGGCAATCCACTCACCTCAGCCTCCCAAAGCACGGGATTACAGGCTGAGCCACCGAGCCTGGCTTCTTGGTTGCTGTTTTACTGAGCTGAGCAAACTGTTTCTCTGATAGGAAGAAACATAACCTGGTGTGGTGGTTCATGCCTGTAATCCCAGCACATGGGGGACCAAGGCAGGAGGATTGCCTGAGCCCAGGAATTTGAGACCAGCCTGGGCAGCTTGGTGAGATCTCTACAGTAAATCAATAAATTAGCAGAGTGTGGTGGTACACGCTTGTAGTTTCAGCTACTTGGAAGACTGAGACAGAAAGATCACCTAGTTCAGCAGGTCAAGGCTGCGGTGGCCATGAGTGTGCCACTGCACTTCAGCCTGGACAACAGAGTGAGACTGCAACTCAAAACAAAAACAAAAACATGTTAACTAGGCCCTGAAGGCTGGAGTGCAGTGGCACAATCGTGGTTCACTGTAGTGTCATCCTCCTTGGCTCAGGTAACCTTCTACCTCAGCTTACTGAATAACTGGGACTATAGGTGTGGACCACTATGTTGGCTTAATTTTTTTATTTTTATTTTTGTAGAGATTAGTTCTTGCTGTGTTGTCTAGGCTGGTCTTGATCTTCTTGTCTCAAACAGTCCTCCCAGTTTAGCCTCCCAAAGTACTGGGATTAAAGGTGTGAGCCACCACACCCAACCCCCTGAAGGCCATTCTTTTTTTTTCTTCTTTTTTGTTGGGGGGGTAGGATTCTCATTCTGTCACCTAGGCTGGAGTGCAGTGGTGGCACACTCATGACTACCACAGCCTTGACCTCCTGGGCTCAAGTGATATTTCCTCCCCACCCTTCCAAGTAGCTAGAACCACAGGCATGCGCCACCATGCCTGAGTAATATTTTGATGTATTGTAGAGACGAGGTCTTGCCAAGTTGCCCAGGCTGGTCTCGAACCCCTGGATTCAGGCAGTCCTCTTGCCTCAGCCTCCCAAAGTGCTGGGCTTACAGGCTTGAGCCACTGTGCTGGCGAAGGCCATTCTTAGCTTGCCACGGGGAACCGAGTTCTAGGTTGCAAATGGAGTGGAAAGGTAATAGTACTAGCCAAGAAGAGGAAATTGAACTGTAGAAGGAAAGATAGAAGAGAAGCATCTTGAATCCTGAGTGATCTCAGTTCTTTAGTTTTGGACTACAATATTCAACCTCCCATTTAGCATTTGTTTTTTGTCTGATACAGGGCATGAAAGCTTCTTAGTCCTATTTCTGGCCCATGTAAATTTTGTGTCTCTTCTCTGATTTTATTTCATTGTCCTAAGTTGCAGGGGTAGACTGACTCATTCTCAGGGACCTGATTGTCCCCAGAATGTTCTCTGAGGTCTATGTCAAACATGTAAATTCAGCAGGCATTTTTTGAGTGTTTTTTTTTTTTGTTTTTTTTTTTAAGAGATGGGCTCTTGCTATCATCACTCAGTCTAAGGTGCAGTGGCACAGTCATAGCTCACTGCAGCCTCCAACTCCTGGGTTTAAATAATCCTCCTGCATTAATGGCAGAAAGACGAGTTGCTTGGGCAAAAAAAGCACTCAGTATTTGTTCTCTCTATAGTATGGTAATTCCAAATAGAAGTGCTTCTCTCAGAATTCATTTGAGTCTTTCATACTTTCTTCAATTAGGAGCTCTGTTTGATACTCTGTTGTCCTTGAGACACTAGTCAGGCCCTTCCTTAGAAAACTGAAGCTTCTGTATCCAAGAGTCAAATCAGAATATTGGGTAATTCTAGTTATATTCTCTATCAGATGAAGGAAGTATTTGGAGGGCCCCAGATATACTCTGGGGGCAGGAACCTTAGGAGTGAGAACTAAGATTGTTCTCTCAATACAATGTATCTTCCATATGCAGACATGGAACTCTTGTTGAGGCATGCCCATAGGAGAGAAACCTTCCCTAAATGAGACTGGCTCATATAGTCCCATCTTTGCTACTGTGTGTCTTCCCTGTCCTTCCAGTCTTTGCCAAGTTTAATTGCAATATGAAGCATGGGGATGGAGAAATTGAATTGCCCTAGTTTAGTCCAAACTACCATTCAGACAAGAGGGCATTTGCCTTCAAGTGTTTCTTCTAGATCCTTCCTTCTGAGCTTTTATTGCTATGGTCAGACTTATAATAGGAACTTTCTTCTCATTTCTCCTTTTTTTTTTTTTTTTTTTTTAAAGACAACCTCATCGGCCTTGAAAGGTGCCATTCAGTTAGGCATTACTCACACTGTGGGGAGCCTGAGTACCAAACCAGAGCGAGATGTCCTCATGCAAGACTTCTATGTAGTAGAGAGTATCTTCTTCCCCAGGTATGGAGGTTAATGTTCAAGGGATTGTCCCAGAAAATATGGCTTTTTAATTTTTTTTCCATGTCAACCCCAGGGTAATTTTAGGGGTTCAGGTTTGACAATTTAGGCATTATTCAATCCTTACCTGGTCATAATCAGGGTGATGTGGAACTGGAGAGTTTGGATAGCAGGTGTTATCTTCTTGATGCTTCCATGACTCTCTGACCTATGGAGGGATCCCCTTTTTATTTTTTTATTTTTGTTTTGAGTCAGACTCTCACTATGTGCCCAGGCTGGAGTGCAGTGGCACACTCATGGCCACCGCAGCCTCAACCTGCTGGGTTCAGGTGATCCTTCTGCCTCAGCTTTCCAAGTAACTGGGACCACAGGCATGCGCCACCATACCCGGCTAATTTTTTTATTTATTGCAGAGACAAGGTCTCATCAAGTTACCTGGGCTGGTCTTGAACCCCTGGGCTCAGGCAGTGCTCTCACCTCGGCCTCCCAAAGTGCTGGGATTATAGGCATGATCCACCAATCTGGCGTATTTTACTTTTTCTATTTTTTGAGTTGGTGTCTCTCTCTGTCACCCAGGCTGGAGTGCAGTGGCACATTCACGGCTGCCACACCCTCAACTTGCTGGGCTCAGGCAATCCTTCTACCTTAGCCTTCCAAGTAGATGGAACTACAGGTACGCACTACCATGCCCAGCTAATTTTCTGATTTATTGTAGAGACGAGGTCTTGCCTAGTTGCCCAGGCTGATCTTGAACCCCTGGACTTAGGCAATCCTCTCGCCTCTGCCTCCCAAATTGCTGGGATTACAGGAGTGAGCCACCAAGCCCAGCAGAGGTGGAACCCCTTTAAAAAGAACCTAATGCATTGGGTGAGAGGCAGTGTGATTCCCTGTGCTCATGTCTTGCTCTCCATTTTGTGCCTTTGTTCTACTAAGTAACTAACTCATCTAAGTCCCCTTGTTCTCTCAGGAGGGATTACTGTCACCCCCACTCTGACTCCCTGGGGGACTGAGTGTCTTCATAAGGTGGGCTCCCTGGATGACAGAATCTGGGAAGTTTGACTTCTTCTATTTAACCCTGCAGTGAAGGGAGCAACTTGACACCTGCTCATCACTACAATGACTTCCGTTTCAAGACCTATGCACCTGTTGCCTTCCGCTACTTTCGGGAGCTGTTTGGCATCCGCCCTGATGATTACTTAGTAAGTTTCTGGATCTCGGAACCCTGTGACTACAGTATTAGTGGGATATTCCCAAGGGAAGGTCTCCTCTCCCCACAGTCTCACTTCAGTTTTTCATTAGAATAACCCTGTATCTGTAGTAGGTTTCTGTGTTGGGCCCTAGTGTATGTGAATCTCTTTTTTTTTTTGAGTTGGAGTCTCTGTCGCCCAGACTGGAGTGCACTGGCCGCTCCTGGCCACCGCAGCCTCGACCTGCTGGGCTCCGGCGATCCTTCCGCCTCAGCCTTCCAAGTAGCTGGAACTACAGGCACGCGCTACCACGCCTGGCTAATTTTTTCAATTATTGTAGAGATGAGGTCTTGCCAAGTTGCCCAGGCAGGTCTTGAACCCGTGGACTCAGGCAATCCACTCACCTCAGCCTCCCAAAGCATGGGATTACAGGCTGAGCCACTGAGCCCGGCTGTATGTGAATCTCTTACTCTCTTCTCTCTACCCCAGTATTCACTCTGCAATGAGCCCCTGATTGAACTCTGCAGCTCTGGGGCTAGTGGTTCCCTCTTCTATGTGTCCAGTGACGACGAGTTCATCATTAAGACAGTCCAACATAAAGAGGCAGAGTTTCTGCAGAAGCTGCTTCCAGGATACTACATGGTAAGGGGGAGAGGAGCATGTGCTGCCCATTCCTGGACAAGGCTGGGGAGGCCATCTTCAGCAGGGCAAAAGAATGTCAGCACTTCTATCTTGGATATGGTTCGTTTTTGTGCTTATCATCCCATCTGTTTAGCTTCTTTGTGGTTAAAAGTGGTTTTTCTTAGGCCAAGTCCTGTGGCTCACGCCTATAATCCCGGCACTTTGGGAGGCCAAGGTAAGAGAATTGCCTGAGCCCACCGGTTTGAGACCAACCTGGGCAACTTGGCAAGACCTCATCTCTACAATAAATCAAAAATGTACCTGGCTGTAGTGGCGCGTGCCTGTATTTCCAGCTACTTGGAAGGCTAAGGCGGAAGGATCACCTGAACCCAGGAGGTCAGGGCTGCGGTGACCTTGAGTGTGCCACTGCACTCCAGCCTGGGTGACAGAGTGAGACTCCAACTCAAAAAAAACAAAACAAAACAGAGGTTTGTTTATCTGTTCTGTTTTTTGAGTCAGAGTCTCACTCTGCTGCCCAGGCTAGAATGCAGTGGGACATTCGCACCCACGATAGCCTCAACCTCCTGGGCTCAGGCAAATCCTTCTGCCTCAGCCTTCCAAGTAGCTGGAACCACAGGCACATGCCACCATGCCTGGCTAATTTTTTTTTTTAATTGTAGAGACAAGATCTCGCCAAGTTGCCTGGGCTGGTGTTGAACCCCTGGGCTCAGGCAATCTTCTCACCTTGGCCTCCCAAATTTCTAGGATTACATGCATGAACCACCTTACCTGGCATATCTGTCCTTTTTAATTAGCTTAGACTGACCTACCCAGTAGCAAGATTCGAGATATTTTTGTTTTCTCTTCTTAGTCCAGCTGCCAGTTTGGGGAATGAGTGGATTCCTTCCCTTGATAGTGCTTTATATAGTCTCACTCTAATTTATTACTCGAAGGTTCTAGAAAAGTAGGGAACTCTTGTTGCTGCCCATAAAACCCCCAAGAATATACTATACCTAGGGTAAAGGATATAGTCTTCAGCTTCTCTGAAGGAATATATCATCATATGTTTGGTATCCTGACTGAAGACTATGTTGGAGGACCTGTGGCTCAGCTTAGTGGTGATCTAATCATTGAAATAAGATACATTTGGAAATTTTAAACAAATAAGATGTTGGTTTATAGGTAGACAGATTGTGTCTGAATTCCATATAAGAGATAAAGGGAGGATGGGTGGCATGTTTTGCCCTTGAGTTTCACTTAAAATCAGCTAACTTGTCTCCTACTTTTTACTTTTGTGCTCTCAGAACCTCAACCAGAACCCTCGGACTTTGCTGCCTAAATTCTATGGACTGTACTGTGTGCAGGCAGGTGGCAAGAATATTCGAATTGTGGTGATGAACAATCTCTTACCACGATCGGTCAAAATGCATATCAAATATGACCTCAAGGGCTCAACCTACAAACGACGGGCTTCCCAGAAAGAGCGGGAGAAGCCTCTTCCTACCTTTAAAGACCTGGACTTTTTACAAGACATGCCTGATGGTCTTTTCTTGGATGCTGACATGTACAATGCTCTCTGTAAGACCCTGCAGCGTGACTGTTTGGTGAGATTTTCATATTCCCCACTTTCTCAGACACCAAGAATCTCAACTAAAATAGCTTAGGCTAGGTGCAGTAGTTCATGCCTGTAATCCTAGCACATTGGGTGGCCAAGGTAAGTGGACTGCTTGAGCCCCAGGAGTTGGAAGGCCAGCATGGGCAACATAGCAAAGCCTCGTTTCTATAAAAGGTTTTTTTTTTTTTTTTTTGAGTTGGAGTCTTACTTTGTCACCCAGACTGGAGTGAAGTGGCCACTCCCGGCCACTGCAGCCTCGACGTGCTGGGCTCCAGTGGTTCTTCTGCCTCAGCCTTCCAAGTAGCTGGAACTACAGGCGCATGCTACCATGCCCGGCTAATTTTTTTTTGATTTACTGTAGAGATTAGGTCTCGCCAGGTTGCCCAGGCGGGTCTTGAACCCACGGGCTCAGGCAATCCACTCACCTCAATCTCCCGAAGTGCTGGGATTACAGGCTGAGCCACCAAGCCCGGCTTATAAAAATTTTTTTAAAAAATTAACCAAGCATAGTGGTTTGTACCTTTTATTTTTTCTACTCGGTATGCTGAGATGAAAGGATCGCTTGAACCCAGGAGCCCAAGGCTGCCATGAGCCATGATCATCATGATCATGCCACTGCACTCCAGCCTGGGTGACATAGTGAGTCCCCAACTCAAGAAGAAGAGTAAGAAAAACCACCAGTTTAGTTGTTATTAAGTTTGTAAGATATGGGACTTTGTTCCTTAGCTCCATATGTCCCAGACTGTATTTAAAATAACTTTTAATTAGCTCATTGCCATACCTTTACATTTTTACTTTCTCCCTGTTTATCCTCCTCCAGTGGGCTTTATTTTCTTCTATTGCTAGCCTAGTCCCCCTACTCAGACATTTGCTTATTTTCACACCAGCACTGTCATTCATCACATCTTGATTCTTCTTGCCAGATCCAAATTTATATTATGGAAGCTGAATGCTGCTGAAGAAAATTATGCAACTATGTATACTGGCATCTCTACAGATTTATGATCCCCAGTGCCACTTGGGCCTTCAGTATTGCTCTTCATTCTGTTTCCTGTTGCTCTCAACCGGGATTTCAGATGTTTGGCACGCTCTTTAAACCACTTCCTAACTCCCATCTCTCCAGCTTTGTTTCTCAACAAAGTGCCTTAACCTTGTATCCTGTTCCATCCCATTGTGCTGCCCCCATGACCAATTAATAATTGTATCTACTTAGAAATTCTTTTTTTTTTGAGTTGGAGTCTCACTCTGTCACCCAGACTAGAGTGCAGTGGCTGCTCCCGGCCACCGCAGCCTCAACCTGCTGGGCTCCAGCGATCCTTCCGCCTCAGCCTTCCACGTGGCCGGAATTACAGGCATGTGCTACCACGCCCGGCTGATTTTTTGATTTATTGTAGAGATGAGGTCTCGCTGCCCAGGTGGATCTCGAACCCGCGGGCTCAGGCAATCCACTCACCTCAGCCTCCCAAAAGCGCGGGATTACAGGCTGAGCCACCGAGCCCGACTTACTTAGAAATTCTTAATCCTCTTTCTTCCACACTCTGGCTTATTTCATATCAGTCTTTTTTGTGTTCTAGATCCATTTCCTTCTGTTTCTTCATTACCTGTTTCATCACTTGTTTCCTTCCCCTCCTCTAGCTCCAGTCTCTACTGGCTGTTTTCTCGCAGGCTCAGGCAATCCACTCACCTCAGCCTCCCAAAGCACGGGATTACAGGCTGAGCCACCGAGCCTGGCTCTATATTACATTTTTATCCCTTTCTAAATTTATTTATTTATTTTTAATTTTTTTTGAGTTGGAGTCTTACTCGGTCGCACAGACTGGAGTGCAGTGGCCGCTCTGGGCCACTGCAGCCTCACCTGCTTGGCTCCGGCGATCCTTCCGCCTTAGCCTTCCAAGTAGCCGGAATTACAGGCATGTGCTACCACGCCCGGCTGATTTTTTTATTTATTGTAGAGATGAGGTCTCGCTGCCCAGGCGGTTCTCGAACCCGCGGGCTCAGGGAGTCCACTCACCTCAGCCTCCCAAAGGCGTGGTATTACAGGCTGAGCCACCGAGCCTGGCACTTTCTAAATTTATAATATCATTGAGAACAAAAAGTTTCTCTTAAGTAACTTTATATTCCTGTAAGCTGGCACAATGTCTACACTTGATGGAGATTAAGTAAATGTTGAGCTAAATTGAAGCTGGTTGTATAAGGTCCTGCAACAAATCTGCCCTGTCATAAAATTACTTTTACGAGACCTTCACTGTGAATTACATACAACACATATATGTATTTCTTGTTCTCTTGAGAATGTAGTGTTCTTTTATTTTTTTTAGTTGGATTCTCACTTTGTCAACCAGGGTGGAGTGCAGTGGCACTCTCACAGCCACCACAACCTTGACCAACTGGGCTCAGGTGATCCTTCCGCCTCTACCTTCCAAGTAGCTGGAACCACAGGCATGCGCTACCACACCTGGCTAATTTTTTCATTTATTGTAGAGACAAGGTCTCGCCATGTGCCCAAGTTGGTCTTGAACTCCTGGGCTCAGGCAGTCCTCTCACCTGTGTGCTGGGATTACAGGCGTGAGCCACCACACCTGGAGAGAACTTAGTGTTCTTTTCATGAAAAGATTCATGGAAAGAACAAAGGTGTTGTGGGCTAGGCAGTGGGACTTGAAAAATTTGTATTGCCGGCTCGGTGGCTCAGCCTGTAATCCTGCGACTTTGGGAGGCTGAGGTGAGTGGATTGCCTGAGCCTGCGGGTTCGTGACCCACCTGGGCAACTTGGCGAGACCTCATCTCCACAATAAATCAAAAATTAGCCGGGCATGGTAGCACGCACCTGTAGTTCCAGCTACTTGGAAGGCTGAGGCGGAAGGATCGCCGGAGCCCAGCAGGTTGAGGCTGTGGTAGCCGGGAGCGGGCACTGCACTCCAAACTGATCAGAGGAAGTTAGGATACTCTTTCTCAAGGAGTAGGAAAAATGAAAGATACTTCTGTGGTTAGTTGTAGAAAATATCCTCATACCTCCCAAGTCTCAGATTATGTTTTTTTCCTTCCATTAGGTGCTGCAGAGTTTCAAGATAATGGACTATAGCCTTTTGATGTCAATCCATAACATAGATCACGCACAACGAGAGCCCTTAAACGCTGAAGCACAGTATTCAGTTGACTCTCGAAGACCAGCCCCCCAAAAGGCTCTCTATTCCACAGCCATGGAATCCATCCAGGGCGAGGCTCGGCGGGGTGGCACCATGGAGACCGATGACCAGTGAGTGGGTTCAGGGGCACTGGGAAGGAGAATATAGGCTCACAGCACTTGTTCTTGAGGAAGAAACGTAGCTTCTGGAAAGGAATAGTCTTGATTCAGCAGTTAAGTTCACAGCAATACTTATAGAACTGTAGAATGAGCTTTTTTCCCTCCCCTTTTGTATTATTCTAGACAGCTCCCAGGAATAGAAGAATGAGCTTTCTCTTCTTGTCTTTTTCCTTTTTTTTTTTTTTTGAGTCGAAGTATCACTCTGTCGCCCTGGTTGGAGTGCAATTGCACACTCATGGCCACTGCAACCTCGACCAGCTAGGCTCAGGTGATCCTTCTGCCTCAGCTTCCCAGGTAGCTGGAACTATAGACATGCGCCACCACGCCTAGGTACGTTTTTGATTTATCATAGAGATGAGATCTCGCCAAGGTGCCCAGGTTAGTCTCAAACCCGTGGACTCAGACAATCCTGTCACCTTGGCCTCCCAAAGTGCTGGTAATTTAGGCATGAGCCACTGCACCCAGCCAAGCTTTCTTAATATAAAAGGAAAGGAAGGTTTCTAAGCTGGGCATAGTGGCTCACATCTGTAATCTCAGTAGGTTTCTTTAATTTGGGGTTTGTAGTACATTTGGGAAGGAAAGCTACCCAATATTTAAAGACTTCTTAAAAAATGTTTAAAAAGAAAAATAAAAATTACACTAAGAGCACATTTCTGAAAATTATAAAACTTTTTTCCCCTCGTCTTTCAACTTGATATATTAGAACTTTATCAAAAACTGTTTATTATAGACTTTTTTTTTTTGAGTTGGAGTCTCACTCTGTCGCCCAGACTAGAGTGCAGTGGCCACTCCCGGTCACTGCAGCCTCGACCTGCTGGACTCTGGCGATCCTTCAGCCTCAGCCTTCCAAGTAGCTGGAACTACAGACGTACACTACCACACCCGGCTAATTTTTTGATTTGTTGTAGAGATGAGGTCTCACCAAATTGCCCAGACGGGTCTCGAATATTATAGACTTTTTATTTTTGAGTTGGAGTCTCACTCCGTCACCCAGGCTGGAGTGCAGTGGTATACTCACAGCCACTGCAACCTCTACCTGCTACTGCTGGGCTCAGGCAATCCTTCCACCTCGTTCTTTCAAGTAGCTGGAACTACAGGACGTACCACCATGCCCAGCTAATTTTTTTTTTCTTCTTTATTGTAGAGACAAGGTCTCTCTAAGTTGCCCAGGCTGGTCTCAAACCCCTGAGCTCAGGCAGTCCTCTCACTTAGGCCTCCCAAAGTACTGAGATTACAGGCTTGAGCCACTGTACCTGACCTTATAGACTTCTTTATGGAAAGCACCTTTCTACATCATGGAACTATCTAGTAAGTGCAGTTACTAAAATATCATAAATGTCTTAGATGGTTTCATTTTTAAGGTATTCTATATCATTCTCAAAAAGAGTGTCTTAGGAGGCATAAATGAAGATATGAAAGGCCAGGCACAGTGGCTCATGCCTGTAATTCCAGCACTTTGAGAAATCAAGACAAGAAGATTGCCTGATCCCAGGGGTTTAAGATTAGCCTGGGCAACTTGGTGAGACCTCATCTCTACAATAAATGAAAAAATTTTGCCGGGTGTGGTGGTGCACACCTGTAGTTCCAGCTACTTGATGGGCTGAGGTAGAAGAATCTCATGAGCCCAGCAGGTCAAGGCTGCAGTGGCTGTGAGCGTGCCACTGCACTGCAACCTGGGCAACAGAGTAAGACTTCAACTTAAAAAAACAAACAAACAAACACTGGGCTCAGTGACTCAAGCCTGTAATCCCAGCACTTTGGGAGGCGGAGGTGAGAGTATTACCTGAGCTCAGGGGTTTGAAACCACCCTGAGCAACATGACGACATCTCATCTCTACAGTAAATCAGAAAATTAGCCAGGCATGGTGGTACATGCCTGTGGTTTCAGTTCTTGGAAGGCTGAGGTGGAAGGATCACCTGAGCCCAGCAGTTCAAGGCTGTGTTGACTGTGAGTGTGCCACTGCACTCCAGCCTGGGTGACAGACTGAGATGCAGACTGAAAAAAAAATTAGAAAAAAAAATTTTTTTTTAATTTTTTTTAAAGATATAAAAGTGCTGATGAGGGCTGAGTACAGTGGCTCATGCCTGTAATTCCAGGGCTCTGGGAGGCCAACACATGAGGATCACTTGAGCCCAGGAGTTCAAGACCAGCCTTGGCAACAGAGCAAGACTCTGTCTCTTAAAAAAACAAAAAAGTGCTAAGGGAGTTTGGAGTTAGTTGAGGGAAGATTTCCAAAATTACCAAGTTGTGGCAATTCTAGATTCTCTTTGGTAGAGTTTGGGTGGGAGAGGTAGGCATTATAATAGACAACAAGTTTATAATGGGTGATTCCCGGGATTGGAGGAAGATCTCACTCTTCCAGTTTATGGAGGATGAGAGTTATAGTTATGTTTAGGTCTCAGTTCCATGTCCTGATCCGACTCAAGGTTGAGAGAAGCCTCTGTCTATCTACTAGCCAACTGATTTTCTTACTCTTTCATTTTTGTTTTTCCCAGCATGGGTGGAATCCCTGCCCGGAATAGCAAAGGGGAAAGGCTCCTGCTTTACATTGGCATCATTGACATTCTGCAGTCTTACAGGTAAGAAGCATATGGACCACAAGTTAGGAGACAAGGTAGATACAAATAACTATTCACATTTCTCTTTAGATGGATTTGTTGCCAAGTTCTTTCTGAAGGAAGAACAGTGAGTTGCAGTCTGGCTGCTTGCTTCATTGGTTTTCAGATGGTTTATTTCCTTGATTTTGCCTTTCTCTTTGACTTTTATACCCCACCACCTCCCAAACATAATATATACCTTCTGTGGAAAGCTGAGTCATTCCTTGGAAGCACCAGGGTAGAATACACCATCTGTCTGGCTCTTTGTGAAAAACCTGTCAGATGACTCATGGTCCACATTGGGATACAGCTGGAAACATATTCCCCTTTTCCACTGAGGAAAAACAGGAGGGTTACTGTGTTCTGTAAAAAGTGTTAGCCTGTGGAACTAAGAGGCAATGAAGTGGTGATGAGGGGCAACTGGAAATGTAGACACTAGTTTTTTTCCTGTTAGGTTCCAGGTCCTAATGAGGACTGGACAGTACTTGATTTACTGATTCAGAGGATTATCATCCAATTTTAACTACCCCTTTCCAGATTTTTCTATGTGTTTTCCCAGCTCTCTTCTAATAATGAATATTCTTTTCCCTGATTTGCCAGGGACATATAAACTTTCCTTTTTCCATGGGGGAATAATTGACTTAGTAGAAGCAACAGTGGTCTCCATGCTGAACACGCACTGCCACACCTGTTCTTGGGAAAGCCAGTGTACCTCAGTAGATGTGCTCTCCCAGCTTCTATCTTTTTCTTTTCTTTTTTGAGTTGGAGCCTCCCTCTTGTCACCCAGGCTAGAGTGCAGTGGCATGCTCATAGCCACTGCAGCCTCGACCTGCTGGGCTTAGATGATCCTTCTACCTCAGTCTTCCAAGTAGCTAGAACTATAGATGCATGCCACCATGCCTGGCTAGTTTTTATGATTTACTGTAGAAACAAGGTCTCACCAAGTTGCCCAGGTTGGTCTCAAACCCCCAGGCTCAGGCAATCCTCTCTCCTCAGCCTCCCAAAGTACTGGGATTACAGGCTGAGCCACCATGCCTGACTGCTTCTGTCTTTTCAAGATTTTCTATTATCATTTCCCCTTTAGCCCCATAAAACAGGAAACGTATTAAGGTCATTTGTTCAAAAACTATGCGTTTACATGATACAAATTTTTCTCGGCAGGTTTGTTAAGAAGTTGGAGCATTCTTGGAAAGCCCTGGTACATGATGGGGTAAGTAACAACAGCTAGAGGCTCTCTTCCCCACTTTTGTCTCCATCACTTCTGATTTGCCCCCTCAATTTCTTCCATTTATTTCTTACTTCATCTGTGGGTTTTACCCTTCTGGTAGGGGAAAATTGCTCTTGGATTGAAGGTCCTTTTACAGCGCCTCCCTCTAACTCTGTAGCCATCTCTTCTGCTCTGCAGGACACTGTATCGGTGCATCGCCCAGGCTTCTATGCTGAACGGTTCCAGCGCTTCATGTGCAACACAGTGTTCAAGAAGATCCCCTGTAAGTGAGTTCTATCAGATGACCCCCCCAATGGCTCCCTTACTCCAAGAGACAGGGAGCAGGACACCTGTGGTGTAGGGAGTTGCCAAGGCTAGAGGCCTCTCCTTCTCTACCTACATACCATGAGAGCTGCTTCTTGTCCTTGTGTCAGTCACTCTGTCTGTCGCAGTCATTTCCAAGTTGCTGCTTTCCCCCGGCTCTTCCTGCATGTGTCGCTGAGGTGAGGGAATTTCCGGGAAATTGATGGGGGTGCAAAAAAATGTGTAGTTGGGGGTATAGGATCTATGCCACAGGCTGAGATAGGTGAGCCAGATTTTATGTATAGAGAGGGGCAGGGATATTACCAGTGTTATATTTTCTATCCGTGTCCCATGTGCAAAGGAGTTCTCAGACTAGATCAGTATTTACTGATTTCTGCTTAGTACATGTTCTTAGTCTCTTCCCTCAACTTTCTTGTTTGGGAAGCACCAGTGCTCTTTTTTTCAAATCTTCCATGCTGCTGCCACCAGCAAATTGCATCTTCTCCTTCCTGTCTCCTCTTGTTAGTTCCATAGTGAGGCAAAGGGGACATGGAACAATCATTTCAGTTATTTCAAAGTGATACATAAGTGAAAATTATCATAATGATGTGTGCATATGTGCAAAGAAGTTGAGAGTGAAAGCGTCATCTTTGTCGGGTTTTACTGGAGGATACTATTAAAGATAAAAGGAATTATGAACTAGAAGACATTTCATCAGGTGGAAACAAAGCATGTTGTGGGGTGGGGGTGTGAATGTGTCACCTTTCCTCTAGATTTTCTGCTTCTTTCCAAAGTGAGGTAAACTGAGACCTTGTCCTCTGAGACTTAGAGCCTACCTTTGTTTTTGGGTTTTTTTTTGAGTTGGAGTCTCACTATGTCACCCAGACTGGAGTGCAGTGGCCACTGCAGCCTCGACCTGCTGGACTCCGGTGATCCTTCCACCTCAGCCTTCCAAATAGCTGGAACTACAGGCGTGCGCTACCACGCCTGGCTAATTTTTGACTTGTTGTAGAGATGAGGTCTCACCAAGTTGCCCAGACGGGTTGCAAACCCACGGGCTCAGGCAATCCACTCACCTCAGCCTCCCAAAGCGCTGGGATTACAGGCTGAGCCACTGAACCCAGCTTACCTTTGTTGACATTAAACTCTCTTCTCACTTTTCAGAAGAACAACTTTGGGTGTGTGTTGGGGACGCTAGCAATTTGTATCTGTGTCTTGGTGGTGGTTTCTGAGGTGGGTGCTAAGTAGGCTCTCTCTTTCCCTTTTAAAGTGAAGCCCTCTCCTTCCAAAAAGTTTCGGTCTGGGTCGTCTTTCTCTCGGCGAACAGGCGCCAGCAGCAACTCCTGCGTTACTTACCAGCCGTCGGTCTCTGGGGAGCTCAAGGCACAAGTGACAACAAAGGCAGAAGTGGAGCCAGGTCAGCGCTAGGGCTGGGATCCCCATGTGATTGGGTACTCCCTCCCTCCTGAGCCCTTACTTTGGCCAGGACCACTACTCCCCACTTCCATCCTGGAATGGCCACGTTGCTACTTGGGTGTATTTTCCCCACCCCATCTTCTCTTTCTCTTTTCCAGGCGTTCACCTTGGTCGTCCTGATGTTTTACCTCAGACTCCACCTTTGGAGGAAATCAGTGAGGGCTCACCTATTCCTGACCCCAGTTTCTCACCTGTAGTTGGAGAGAATTTGCAAATGCTAACTACAAGGTTGGTTTCTTGGCCCCTTTCTCCATATAAGCTCTCTCTTCAAGTCCTTGGAAACCTCCAAAATTCTTTTTTCAAGGGACCATTGTCTTCTGCTCTTTATTGGTTCTGTACAGGTTCACCTTCCTAAATGCTCATTATTAGCCTTTTGGAAAAGTGTGTCAATGTCTGTCATCTTTACAAGGTGGCGATAACCTTTATTTGTAGACTTTCCTGGTATTCATATGTTTCAACTAACTCATCATCTTCTGATGAGTTGAGAATTCTCAGCTTAGGATTTAAGGATGAAAAGATTCCTGGTTGGTGAAAACACTGTTCAATGAAGTCAGTCTTCAAAAGGATCAGCATAAAGATCATGGTTTAATTTTTTTACCTAGTGTATCATAATAAATAACCCCAAACCTTAGTGGCTTAAAATAACAAACTTTTTTTTTTTGAGTTGTAGTCTCACTCTATCCCACACACTGGAGTGCAGTGGTATGCTTATGGCCATCACATCCTAGACCCGCTGGGCTCAGATGATCCTTCTGCCTCAGCCTTCCAAGTAGCTGGAATGCCAGGCTCGGTGGCTCAGCCTGTAATCCCGTGCCTTTGGGAGGCTGAGG